GGGAAGGGGGAAATAAGAAAGGAAATGGCAAGGAAAACTTGTCTATGTCTCCATGAGAACCACATGATTTTTAATTACTTTTAATTTTACCTTTCCATTTTCATTCTCATCTCCTTTTGGGGAAAATGAGGCTCTTTTTGCATTGTTTTCTGGAACAACTCCCAGGAAAGGCCCTGGGATGGAGCCGAAGGCTCTGTGTGTCCCTGCTGGATACCCCCAACCCTGCATCTCCCCCTCCAACCACGCTCGCTTTCCCGCAGGTGTGACCCCCAAATCTGGGCACTCCCCCATCCTGAAGTGCCCCACGGATTTCCCGCTGATCCTGTGGCACCCCTATGCCCGGCACTATTATTTCTGTGTGATGACGGGCAAGGAGCAGGAGAAGTGGCGGGCGGTGTTCCAGGACTGTGTGCGGCACTGCAACAACGGTGAGTGACACCCGGGGACACAGCGGTGACCTCCTGCCCCACAGAGCCACCCTGCACAGCCAGGCTGGCCTCTGTGGGCACAGGGGATGGGCTGGAGCTCAGGAGGAGGAGAGGGGTGTGAGTTGTTGAGGAACTTTGGAGAAGGGAAGAGTCTGGGGAGATCCTTCCAGTGCCTAGAGGGGCTCCAGGAGAGCTGGAGAGGGATTCTGGACAAGGGATGGAGGGACAGGACACAGGGAATGGCTCCCACTGCCAGAGGGCAGGGATGGATGGGATACTGGGAATTAGGAATTGTTCCATGGGAGGGTGGGCAGACCCTGGCACAGCTGGGGCTGCCCCTGGATCCCTGGCAGTGCCCAAGGCCAGGCTGGAAGCACCCTGGGATAGTGGGACATACCCCTGCCAACAGCAGGGGGTAGAACAGGATGATTTTAAGGTCCCCTCCAACCTAAACCAGTGTGGGATTCCATGTCTGAACATCTCATCAATGCCAGCACCACCACAAGCTCCCTGGAGCATCCCTGTGCCCAGCTCCATCCTCTGCCCAGGAGGAAGTGTTTCCAGGGGTCAGCACAGAGCCTGGCTCCAGAGCTGCCCTGATGTCTTATTTCCCACCCTGAGGGAGAAAATATTTGTTAATTAAAGTCCCCAAACCCCAAACCTCCCCCTGAGGGCTACTGGAGGTGTGGGTGCAGGGCTGTAGGAAGGGGCTGCAGGGCTGTGGCAGGGGTGCAGGGCTGTGGGTGCAGGGCTGTGGCAGGGGTGCAGGGCTGTGGGTGCAGGGCTGTGGCAGGGGCTGCAGGGCTGTGGCAGGGGTGCAGGGCCATGCAGCTGGGTGGAGGCAGGACCTGCCTCCCACATCAGTGATACTCTGGCAGGAAAACACGATTTTCCTGCTTGGCTGTGGCCTGGGCACTCCTGGGCTGAGCTTCAAGTCCTGGCCGTGCTTGGGATGGTGAGAAATTTCCTGAGGAAGGCGGTGCCAGAGCTGAAACCTGCTTAGAATCAGGTGTTTTAGTGGGCATTTTAGATGCTGCCCAATTTCTAAATGCTTCTTTCATTCCTGGGAACTCTGGGTAGCCTCAATTTTGCCTCAGTTTTGCCAGAGCTGCTGTAACAGGGTGAGATCTGGAGCTTGGGTTTCACCAAGGGTTTCCATCCCCCCACGTTGCATTAAATCTCCTGAAAAACTGCTCTTTTTATTTTTATTTTGTGCTGGGGGTCTCGGAGCTCCTTGGGCTGAATGTGCCCCCTCCTCTGTGTGGGGCTGGGTGCTGTGACCCCCCATCCCCCTGAGGAGCATTGCTGGATGATCTCAGCACCCCCTGTGCTGGCTGGGCCAGCAGCTGTGAGCAACCCCAGCTCTGGATAAAAGAGGAATTGATCTCCTGCTAACAAACCCGCAATTTTCATCTCTGATTCCCCTCCCACCTGCTGGGCGCTGCTGTGGAACACAGGGGAGGTGTGAGCCTCTCCACCACCCCCTCTGCCAGCCATGAAAATGGCTGAAAATGCCAGAAAATCCTCTCCTCCCTCTCCTTCTCCTCAGCATGTGATGGAGAAGCCTTCCCAAGCGGGCAGTGGCCAAGGAGGGCTCGGTGCATTCCTCCAGCCCGGATTTGTCTGTGACATTGTTCTTCCTGCCCCTCTCTGCCCCTGGGAGCTCCAGGATCCTGTTTCATATTCCATGAAGGCTCTTTTGTTGTTGGAAAGCACTTTAGGTTGTTGGGGTTTTTTTTTCTCCCTAAATTAGAGGCTCTGTTTCTGCCACTGGTTGTGATCAGTGTGGGAATTTTCAGCTCCCTGTCTCAGACTGTGTTTGTGCAACAGCAGCTCCTCTGTAAGGGCTGGGGATGTGCAGCTCTGTTCCTCACACTGTGAGTCAGACTGGTGTCCCTGCAGCCTGTGGCTGCTCCAAAACTGTCCCTTGTCCAATCTGATGTCACCTGGGGCTGGGCAGTGCCCTCCCTGAGGGTTCCTGCCCCTTGTTGTAGGATGGTTTGAGTTAAAAGGGATCTTAAATCCCATCCAATGCCACCCCTGCCATGGCAGGGACACCTTCCTCTGTCCCAGGCTGCTCCCAGCCCTGTCCAGCCTGGCCTTGGGCACTGCCAGGGGTCCAGGGGCAGCCACAGCTGCTCTGGGCACCTGTGCCAGGGCCTGCCCACCCTCCCAGGGAACAATTCCCAATTCCCAATATCCCATCCATCCCTGCCCTCTGGCAGTGGGAGCCATTCCCTGTGTCCTGCCCCTCCAGGCCCTAAACCACTCATTAATGAAGGCAACTCATTAGATTTGCCCTGGGAAGTGGCACGGGAGTTTCTGGCACCAACCCAGCCTGGAAGGGCACAGGGCTGGGGCCAGACTCAAGGATGTCCCCAGGCTCAGCCTGGAGGGAGTGACCTTGGGAAGGCTCTTGGGAGGCAAATCCTGCCCCAGGCCTGGCAGGGACAGAAGATGAGAATTGTCCCACCTGGGAGGGGATCTGAGCTCCCAGGAGCTGTGGATGGAGCAGCTCCAGCCCCTGGAAGCTCAGCCCAGCTCTGGCTCCCACCAAAGACAGAGAAAAGAGCAGATTTTACTTTCTAAGTGGTTTCCCCCCATGATTATTAAGCTGCCCCTTAGCAAAAGCTGCTTAGGCTTGGAGTTAATTGTAATCACCTTAGAAAAGTCTGTGTGCACTGGGAGAGATCTGCTCAGTGCCCCAGGCTGTCCCTCTTGGGCACCTGGCCATGTCCCCAGCCCTGCCAGGTGCTGTGGGACGTGTCAGCACTGCAGGGATGATCCCCTGGAGCCTCCCAGCAGGGTCACCCTGGCTCACATCCCATCCTGATCCCCTCCTGTGGCCATGGGGAGGGGAGCTGGGGTGGAGGGTTCTCTCCCAGGGGTGTTTCCCTGTCGGCAGGGACAGGCTGGGACAAGGCAGGGACACGCATGGGACATGTGGGACAGCTCCCAGGCTGCCCTGCCTGCCTGCTGTCCCCATCTTCTCGCTCCCAGCCCTGCCCCTCCTGGTGGGTGCAGTGGCAGGGTGGGGGTGACACCTGAGCCCTCGTGCTGCAGTGACTCAGGCGGGGACAGCCTGGCCCTGACTCACTCCTGACGCCTCTTGGCCACTTTCCTCTTCCTTCCGAACCACGCTGCTCCCCGCAGGGCCCCTCTGCCTCCAGCCCCCCCAGCTGGCCCATCCCCACTGCTGGGGGCTCACTGGGTGCTGAGTGCTGTTGGGGGTCACTGAACCCCCATCCTGCTGAGCCCCTGCTGTGCCTTTGGGGGTCACTGAGCCCCCATTGTCCCCATGCACCATTTGGGGTCACTGTGCCCCCAGGTCCCCATGCACTTTTTGGGGGTCACTAAGCCCCCAAGTCCCTGTGCACCATTTAGAGTCACTGAGCCCCCAGGTGCCCGTGCACCATTTGGGGTCACTGAGCCCCAGGTGTCCATGCACCACTTTGGGGGTCACTGAGCCCCCATCCTGCCAAGTTCCTGCTCCTGGGTGCCTTTGGGGGTCATTGAGCCCCCAGGTCCCCATGCACCATTTGGGGTCACTGAGCCCCCAGGTGCCTGTGCACCACTTTGGGGTCACTGAGCCCCCAGGTGCCTGTCCACCACTTTGGGGTCACTGAGCCCCCCCATCCTGCTGAGCCCCTGCTCGTGCTGTGCCTTTGGGGGTCACTGAGCCCCGAGGTCCCCATGCACCTTTTGGGATCATGAGCCCCCAGGTCCCCATGCACCTTTTGGGGGTCAATGAGCCCCCATCCTGCCCAGCCTCCCTGCCCTCGGGGTGGCTCTGGAGGGGATCACTCTGGATGTATCGGGAGCCCCCCAATCCCTGCTGCCCCCACCCTGTCAGGGCCAGTGCCTTGGGACAGGATCCCCCAGTCCTGCTGACAGCCCTGGGGGCTCACACGGGAAGCACCCAAAGGTGCTCTGGGGGTGCAGGGCTGCCCTCATTGCCAGCTCCAGGCTGCTCACTCGTGTCCCCTCGGCAGGGATCTCCGAGGAGTCCAGAGTGGAGGCTCCAGCCTTCACGGACGCCATCCGCATGTACCGGCAGTCCAAGGAGCAGTACGGCACCTGGGACATGCTCTGCGGCAACGAGACCCAGGTGGGACCCGCACCCCCAAACCGGGCTGCCGGGGCTGGGTGCGGCTGAGCGGGCTCCCCAAAAACCTCCTGCCTCCGCAGGTCCTCAGCAACCTGGTGATGGAGGAGCTGCTCCCCGAGCTGAGGAGCACCATCGGCCCCCGGCTGAAGGGAAAAGCCCCGGAGCGCCAGCGGACCTGGATCCAGGTGTGGGGCTGGGGCTGCCCGGGGGGTCCCCACCGCCTGCCCTCCCCCTGCCCGCAGAGCCGGCCTGGGGAGCCTCCCTTCCCCGCTGGGCTCGGTGCCCACCGCCTTCGCTGCCCCCTTCTCCCGGCCCCTTCCCAAGAATCCGTCCTTTCTCCAGAGTGGATTTTTCAAGCTCCTTCTGTGTCCCTGCCCAGCCCTGCCCAGCCCCACAAACAGGAAGAAGCCCAGCCCCGGAGCCAAGCTTGTCCCGGCTAAATTTAGCGAGCCATTTTTAGGACAGCGAGGGCTAAATCCAGCCCAAACCCTTGCGAAAGACTGAGGGCTCTTCAGAACTGCCTGTTAAAACCTTAAACCCCGATAATTACCACCAGGCTCCTAATGGGCCACTTGAGCGGCCTGAAAACACACAAACTGCTTTTCCAGGAGCTGCGGTGGCTGGGAAGCCCGGGGAGGGAGGAGGGGGAGGGCTCTGCATCCTGCCAGTCCCAAAATCCAGCCTTTGGCTGCAAAGTGAGCGTGAAGCCTCAGCCAGCGGCTCCATCCTGCTCAGGAGATTGGCTCTGGGACCCCAGGGAGGGGGAACAGGGCAGGGAACTGATTTCAGGGTGGGCTGGGGCTCTCCTGCTTGGACCACCACTGTCCCTGGACCACCAGTATCCCCAGACCTGCTGCATCCTCAGACCTGCAGCATTCCCAGACCTGCTGCATTCCTGGACATGAAACATTCCCAGACTTGCAGCATCCCCAGACCTGCAGCATTCCCAGACCTGCAGCATTCCTGGACATACCACATCCCCAGACCTGCAGCATCCCCAGACCTGCAGCATTTCCAGACCTGCAGCATTCCCAGATCTGCAGCATTCCCAGACCTGCACTGTTCCTGGACATGCAGCATCCTCAGACCTGCTGCATCCCCAGCCCTACTTGGGGCAGGATGCCTGATGGAGGCAGCACTCACCTCTCTGCCCCTCCAGCACCACTTGGAAACAGTTTCTGCACTGCAGGAGCTCCATCTCACCCAGCTGGGGGGTCCCTGGTGTGGAAGCCCCTGGCAGGCTGTGGGGAAGGGTCCTGTCAGGGCTCTGGGGATGGCTCAGCAGGTCCTCCAGCCAGCTGGAGCTGCAGGCGATGGCTGGGGGTGCAGCTGGAGGCATGGGGGGCTCTGACCACCCCACTGTGCCCCCAGGTGTCGGATGCTGTCTATAGGATGGTCTATGAGCTGGCCAAGGCGCAGTACGACGCAGCCGTGGCCAGGTGTGAGCAGGAGCGGCCGCAGCTGGAGAGCACCATCCGCACAGACATGGACCAGATCATCACCTCCAAGGAGCACCTGGCCAGCAAGATCCGAGGTGCGGCCCTGCAGGGGTGCCCTGGGATGTGGGGGTGTGCCCACAGCCCCTGGGGGCTGTTCCTGGGGTGCAGCACAGCCCATGGGTGCCTGTCCTCACTGGCATTGTCCCAGGGGGTCAGGGACAAGGTGGGCAGACACCCCCCTGGCGTGGCAGCAGGGCAGGAGTGGGTTCAGGACAGACCAGGGGCACTCTGCAGGAGTTCCTTGTGTTGTCGTGGAAGGGGGAGACTCCCGGAGGGGTTTGGGAGCAGGGGCAGCTCCTCCTCCCTGGGGTGGGTTTAGGATGTGATGTGAAGGGCTGGGAGGACAGAGGAGCCTCACCATCCTTACCCTGCTCCTTCCCAGCCTTCGTCCTGCCCAAGGCAGAGGTCTGTGTCCGTAACCACGTCCAGCCCTACATCTCCTCCATCCTGGAGGCCCTGATGACCCCCACGAGCCAGGGCTTCGCCGAGGCACGGGAGGTGTTCTTCAAGGAGGTCACCGACATGAACATGAACGTTGTCAACGAGGGCGGCCTGGAGAAGCTGGTGGAGGTGAGACCTGGTGGTGCTCCTTGCCACCATAGGGCTGACAGGGCCAGTCCTGCTTCCATCCCCAGTGTGGACAGCACTGGGAGACCCCAGGCTGAGAAGATTCCACCCATGTGGGGTGGAATGTCCCCGCCCTGAGAAGCTGAGCTTGGCTTTATCCCCAGTACATGGAGAAGCTGTCCCACCTGGCCTTCCACCCCGTGAAGATGCAGTCGTGCTATGAGAAGATGGACCAGCTGAAACTGGAGGGTCTTCAGCAGCGATTCGATGTCTCCAGCACATCTGTCTTCAAGCAGAGGGCCCAGATCCACATGAGACAGGTGGGATGGGGACCAGGGTCCTCCCCTGTCCCCCTGGGCTGGGAACAGAGGTCTGGGGAGCCCAGGCTGGTCCAGGCTGGGGTGTCTGTGCTGTCTTGAAGGGTGGATGATGCAGCCCCTTTGGTCTGGAGCCCATGGTGGGCTTGGGCATCCTGGTACAGCTGCCCCTTTGCCACCGAGCCCACTGGCACCAGCAAGGCCAGTAAGCCAATTCTGGGGTCTGCCCCAGCCTAACCTGGCGTGGGGTGTAGGAGGATGAGGGGTGCAACACCAGCTCTGAGCAACCTTCTCTCCCAACACCTTGATCCTCGGGGCGAGGGCTGTGGATGCCATGCTGGGAGGTCGGGGATTTGTGCACAGTGAAGGCTCTTTGCCTGTTGGATACTGGGGAGGAATTCTTCCCTGGCACAGGGTACCCGGAGTAGCTGTGGCTGCCCCTGGATCCCTGGCAGTGCCCAAGGCCAGGCTGGACGGGGCTTGGAACAAACTGGGATAGTGGAAGATGTCCTTGCCCATGGCAGGGGTGACACTGGATGAATTTAGGGTCCCTTGCACCCTAAATCAGTGTGGGGCTCTGTGCTAAGGCTCATTTCGGTGTGGCAGTGCCCCAAGAGCCCCCTGCCCACCCTTTGGGTGCCCCCCACACTGACCACGTGTCTCTGGTGGCAGCAAATGGACGATGCCGTGTACACCTTCGAGACCCTGCTGCACCAGGAGCTGGGCAAGCTGCAGGGCAAGGACGACCTCTGCAAGTCCATCCAGCGCATCCTCGAGAGGGTGCTCAAGGTGAGGCAGGGGGTCAGGCCTTTGCTGGCCTTTGGTGGCCTTGTTCCGTGGCCAGGGAAGAGGCTAGCAGTGATGCAATCCATTTCAACAAAAGTCTTTTGGGGGTTTTGTGGATATTGCTGGGGGCAGGCAAGTGGGAAATCACCTGCAGCAGCCAGGTCCCATCTGACCACATCTGTAAAAGCCCCCCAGGGTTCAGACTGGCCCCCAAACCGTCCTGCAGCCAGCAGTGGAAGAGCTGGTTCCTACCCAGGCTCAGAAACACTGGGCAGCAGCTGGAGAGAGGGATGTAAGGCCAGAGGGGTCTGTGTGAATGGGCTGGGGGACAAATCTCAGGGGTTTGTGCCCGTGGGCAGGGGCAGCCAGCCCACAGCCCTGGGTGACCTGGGGCACCCTCCCACCCTGCAGAAATTCGACTATGACAGCAGCACCGTGAGGAAGAAGTTCTTCAGGGAGGCCCTGCTGCAGATCACCATCCCCTTCCTGCTGAAAAAGCTGGCACCCACCTGCAAGGGGGTAAGAGGGGAAGGTTTGGGGTGCAGGGAAGGACTGTCCACACCTGTGGAGGGGCTGGAGCATCCACTCCCCCCAACCTGCCGGGCTGAGCCACCTCTCCCCTGGCAGGAATTAGCCAAGTTTCAGGAGCTGATCTTCGAGGACTTTGCCAGCTTCATCCTGGTGGAGAACACCTACGAGGAGGTGGTGCTGCAGTCGGTGATGAAAGACATCATGCAAGGTAGGGCCCTGTGTGAGGAGGGGGTGACCTCGTGTAGGGTGCTGGGGCTGTCTGAGGAGGGGGTGACCTCTGCAGGGTGCTAGGGGGTCTCTGAGGAGGGGTGATCCCAT